ATGAGTTATAATAAATTAATGTTCATATTTTCTGAATAAAACCATGTTATTGGATCAAGTGCAGCATTTTGGGTTTCCACCCGAGCATGTTGATATTTTTCTGCCGTTGGAGCTTGGAGTGTTTTGAGATTTTTCACCATAACGAACTTGTGCACTGATTTGACAGCAAATTGCATTGAATCTCCAGGTCTCGCTTCCCATCTTTTTTTCACACCCTAGCCTTTCAATACATCTGGTACACCTTCAGTCTCAACTGACTCTTGTTCATGGGAAGTCGAGTCTGGTGGGACGTTGTATACAAAGTGGTGGATTGCAGTCATGCTTGATTGAAATTTCAATGCAATTGTTAGCTCCAGGACTTGTTATTGGGCACTTTGTACTGTACGTCTTGCAAATGCCTGACTAGTGAACTGTATTTGAAAGTATAATAAGGGGGGGAGGCTCAATGTTTGTGAAAAAACATATTCTGCGATCTAGAAAAGCAAAGAGGACTAACAGAGTCACTAGCCATCCGGACTTTGTCTTTGCTCTGTGTTTTTTGCCCTGTGTAAGAAAAAGTTAAAATAAAAAAAAAGTTCAGTGTATTGATTTTCAGAAGTTTATATTGTATTTTCGATCATTTGTTTTTTTTGATTTTGGAAATTCATGGCAACATTAAAATTCAAAAATATAAAGTCACTGTCTCAAGGTTTTAGCTCTTATTTTGTTCTTGGATTATGTTCCATAAAGAGGCTGAAGGACATTGTCGCACCATCAGATAATTATATTAATATAAATGATCTACATATGAGCCATGCATATGTTGTTGTATGGTTTTACAAACATGCAGTATAGTACATCCTTTCAAGTGCATTTCAGGTATAACAGAAAGAAATGAATGAAAAGTAAAAAAACATTAGTTTTCCATATTTAATATAACTTGCATTCTCTGTAATATCCAGAAGGGGGCGACTCACTGGTTACTGAAAAGATTTTGAGTGTGTAAAAGGCTATCAGAAACTGAACTTGGTCTCAATTGATTTATTACCTCCATAAACATTTCACTTTTAAGAGTATGTTTTGAATTGCTAGTTTCAAATCGTAGTTACATTTAGGAATTATAGTCTAATTAAGAGTTTAATAGAGGATTAAGCAGAGTTAGAGTTTGCTTCCCAGTTTCTAAGCAGCTCCATAGACATTTCCCGTACTATTTGAAACTAGTTTTTTCTTCTGTCCTCCCTTAATCATCTCCCAACAGATCAGCTCACATGTACTCTGTGAACCTTTGAAGGGGACCGGGGTCTCAAAATACTTAACCACTATTAGGTTTATAGCTTGAGCTTGTTTACTACAACTATGTATAAATAAGTTAAATCAAGCTCAACCTCAATCTCAACATAGCAGGCTAACAATATATCAGTTACTTTTATTACCATTTTGAATGCAGGACCTTTTATAAATTGGATTTCCACATGAATATATCGGTTATTTTATCTGCATTTTTCTTATCACTTGTTTTTTGTAAAGAGTATATATTTTATTGAAGGAAAGATGAGTGTTAAATTAAGGCCTACATTTGATGAAATAATCCACTCTTGTTTGTTATATTGTCAAGTTCATGGGATGCCACAGCGTGAGCCTTATCACAAGTAGCTGTCTTTATGAAATGGGGGTTGCCAGATTTTCAAGATATCTCTATTAGTAAAGTAACTCCATATCAAGAAATTAAAAAATCCTCATCATAGCACTTCCCTCAGAGAAAAGATTAATTAAAAGAGAAGTGGTCAAAATTAAAGCCACATATATTTGACTATATTCCTAATAATAAATTCCTGCAATTCACGTTTATTTCTTTGATGTTCTTTTCTCAGATTATTTTGTGGTGGGAATTTATTTATCAAATGTGGATAGAGAATCAAACCATTCAGCTGTCTTTGTCGTATTTTATTTATTGCAAGAAAGTTCAGTCAGTCATACAGAGAGCATACAGTCTGCAGAGTTAGGAAGCAACATTATGGTTTTCCGCTATATCTGAAGAAACGTTAGAGAAAACAAATTATGTAAAACAGAGTAGGGAGGGACCTCGCCAGCCGGCCGGATGATGATTGGAGGATCGTGTTGCCATTCAGCTAGTCTTGACCAATCAAAAATGTACGGGCAACGCCCTGTGTAATAAAATGTATTGTCGCACGAGGTTCGAGGCTCTTGACGGATTTGGTGGTTACAGATTATAGCTTTACTAGCTGTGATTTCCAAGACGTGATGAGTCCTTGGCCAAGTGATATATATCTTTTGCTCTCTTTACAATAAATAGTTAAACTTAGAAGTTGTCTGTCTTTTCTGGAATTCTGAACCCAACAGTGATAATGAAAGGAGCATTCAGATTAACTGAGTTGAAGGTAACAGAGAGTGTAACTAACACTGCAACACATCTTCTTAATAAGGAATTGAAAGGGAAAGTAGATAAACATTAGCAAATAACAATCACACAATGATATTATTAAATTAAGTAAGTGAGTATAATATTTTTCTATTACAATTGGCATACATTACCAGCTACCTCTTTAATTCAATATGGTCCCTTTAAAAATATATATATACAGTATACTGCTACTTTTTTTTACCATGGTGTACTTATCTGCTATTTTGTGTTTTACTTATTCTGTTCTCCTATTATTAATAACGTTTGCATACTTGGTCATTTTTTATTTCTTAAAATGTAAGTCTGTTCTCCTCTCCCCCTTTATCTGCTGCTGTAATAATAATGTACATTTCCCTGTTGCGGGACAAATAAAGGATTTCTGATTTCTGATTTAGAACTAATTAATAATTCGTATAACTCAAGAATATCTTCCCTTGCATGATTGTTAAACATTGTCCAAGACTCCAACATGTGAATGCATGGGCGTAATTTCCACTGGGGACAGGGGGGGACATGTCCCCCCCACTTTTCAAAATCCCATTTGTGTCCCCCCCACTTTTTCTTTTTATTTGTTTACGCAAGCGGTCATCGTCACGGAGGAGCGTCTGTGTGTGTGTGTGGCACAAGCGCATCTTGTGAGAGAGAGAGATATAAAGAGAGAGAGACAGAGAGAGAGAGACATAGAGAGTTACGGGGGTTGTTGTTAGCATTTGGTGCTAGCTCGGAGCTAATGGAGATTAGTAGCTGTTTCAACAATAAGGAGAGGGAGAGCTCTTTCCTGTCGGACTTTGAGAGACTGAGAGAGAGAGAGAGATAAATAGAGAGAGAGAGAGACAGAGAGAGAGACAGAGAGAGAGAGAGACAGAGAGAGAGAGAGAGAGAGAGAGAGAGAGAGACTGAGGCGTAGGCTCCACGAGGACGAAAATGGGTTGAATCCGCATATTTCTCATGCGTATAGCCCTTTAAGCTCGACGACGCCGTAAGGGAAACGTAGAAACATACCCGCAAACGACAACGGGTCCAAAGGTGGATAGATCTGGGAACGGAGCGCTCTGGGGGGTCCAACGGGGCCGTGGGGTCGCCTATACGGTCATGCGTTTCATAGCCCCGCCTCTCCCCGCCTCTCCCCACCTCTGCTGCTCACCTCCGCAAAAGTACACTGCACACTGAATTCAGATTATTTATCTTTATCTCGATATGAACATAAACGCGAGTGAAGTCTAATCTGACAGGACGGAGACACGCAGCTCCTCCGGCTGTGAAGCAGCGAGAGCAAAACACACACTTCAAGTCAGATCACCACCCTTAGCTATTTTAATTACCTCTCAAACTACCTAAACTAGTTATAAATATGATTATTTTTACTGTCGGGTTTACTTACTGGATCAGCTGCTGCATGAGGAAGCAGGAAGATTTAAACTTTAACACACATTGACCGGCGAAAAACTCTGCGCGGTTCCCTCGGCCCCCACCCATGGATGTGCCCCCACCGCGGAGAATAAACAGAAGTGCAGCCATGACAACCATTCTTCTTCGCTGCTTTTGTGGAGGAAGTTGCTGCTTTTGTGGAGGAAGTTACAGCGCCATGTACAGGTTCGGCATATGTACTGCAGCTTTTCCAGCGGTTGGATGTAAACGGAGCCGTCTCGTGGAGCTTGACACAATCCGGTGTATATTGCGTGTGGTCGGAAGGTTTTTTGCGGTTGCGTTTGCGTTACTCCGATGCGTTTTGCCGTATTTGTTCTCGTGGAGCCGGGGCCTGAGAGAGTTACGTGGGTTGTTGTTAGCATCTGGTGCTAGCTCGGAGCTAACGGAGATTAGAAGCTGTTTCAACAATAATGAGAGGGACAGTCCTCTCCTGTCGGACTGAGAGAGATAACGTCAGCTCAGGGAGGTAAAGGACTCTCTGAGTGATTAGGTTGTAAACTTTAGTCTAGTTATCTCAGTGGGTCTCAAACGGTTTGGTCATCTATGTAAACAAATATTTCCATCTATGTAATATATAGTTGTATATAAAATAAGTTAAGAAATCCTTCCAATGTGTACTATAGGTCAGTACAAAAATAAAAAACACAGTTTGAAAGGGGAGTGATTAGTCAAATATGCATAAATAAAAAGAAAAAATGCAGACTAGGTAAGATAAAGATAGGAGAGAGGAGTTTATCAATGATTTGTTATTGGTTGTGAGCATATTCTAATAGCTTTTTGATTATTGAAATATATACAGTTCTGTTTCATATGAGTGTTGAGAACTGTATCCATAAATCTCTTAATGTTGCCCTCAAAGTGCACCAGATTGATGCATTCAACTTCAATTTAAAGAAACAAATCTTCCCGGGGTGCATGCCCCCGGACCCCCCTAGAGGATGTCAGGTAATCACAAATAAAACAGGTTCACATGGATAGGACACTAGATAAGTGTGCACACTCATTATATACACTACACATTTTTCTTGGATTTGTTAACACTATAGTCCCTAATATATTTGTAGAAAGGCAGGAAATGGAATTAAATTGAGAAAATATTTCATTGCGGAGGACCCCCTGTTTTGTGTCCCCCCCACTTCTCAAACCAAAGTTACACCCTTGTGTGAATGAATGAACAGCTGCAACAGGAAGCTCAGTATTCCTCGAGGTCTATGGATGACGCAATGTGCGCTGGACCAGTCAGACCGGATCAGCCGCTGAATCAAACACACTGCTCTCCTCCAGTCCTCACCGAACACTGACGACCAATACGTTTCCGGACAACGTTTGTTTTACTCACGAAACCCACTCTATCGTAAGTAAAACCAACCTTTTTCATATTTGAACTAAGAATGAATATGATGTAATTTGTCAGCCAGAGCAGCGACCGCCTTGACTTTACTGGGCAGTAGGCTATCTAGTGACAACGGCGTGTCTTGTCAACTGACATGAGTGGAACGTTTACATTCTTGCTGCGTGGTTTGTAGCGTATATGCTATGTTGTTAGCTAGCTATTCCCAACCATTGGGAAAACAATATGTTTAGCTAATGATTGCAAGCTTCCCAAATGCCAAGTTGTTAGGATACAGGAGAGACAAACTGGGGTTAGGGTGGTTTGAAATGTATTGACAGAAGCTGTTTGACCACGTGCAAATTCATTTATCCACATAACATGAGCTCGTTTCCATTCCCTGTGGCTCTGGCACATTGGGAAGCTTTGTTTTGAGATAACACATTTTGTCACTCATCTTCTGAATAGAAACTGAGTGAGGAAACCACCTGTGGAGATGTCATCCCCCTTAAGCAATGCTGATCACTAACTTCCACCCTAAATACATACCATATTCTGACAAGTGTTGAGTGATTAATCCAATGGTTGAAAAATGTTTTAAAACTGATCATCATTTAAAAATAAATGAAGGATGAGCAACTATTCATTAAGCTGGATATTTGCCACCTGACAATGGTACTACCTTTAAAGCACATTCATTGCATTGGTAGATGATTCTGAGAGAGCACCTTATTGATCGCTAGGACTGCACCTTATTATTATTTGCTTTATTAGTTAAACTGTCATCCAGTCATGTAATTGTTTTTTTCTTTAAAAAGTCAGAAAAAATGCTAATCACAAGTTCCCTGAGCCCAATTTGGCATTGTCAAATTGCTTGTTTTTCTAAAATTTAATCAAGTTTTTATCTGCAGGAGATTGTTGTAACACTCACTTTAACATTGCATCCTGCACCAGCGTAGTGACTGATATAACACCCTGTCTGCTGTCTCTCCACAGATTCTCTACCTGTTGGACTGAAGGCCCTCATCATGTCTAAAGGTACCGTGGTTCTTGCCTACAGCGGTGGACTGGACACATCCTGTATTCTGGTTTGGCTTAAGGAGCAGGGCTACGACGTGATTGCATTCTTGGTAAGGTTTACCAGTTTGTGCAACAGGTGTCTTAAGTCAGTTTTTTTTAACCACTTGCTTTGGCATGTCATGTATCTTTGCCGTTTTTATGATTCACTGTTTTCAGGAAGCTGATGCAATTTGTCTTTCCATTTGTACGAGTTCTCCATTGGCTGCAAAGGGTCAGTTCCGGTTAACTCTCAACAACAGAGGATTTGGTTTGATAATGCCAGCACAAATCTAACTGGATTTACTTTTTGCCCTGGGGCAGTTGAGAAGTGCAAAGCAGGCAGATTTTCTTGTTGTCTAACTGTTCATTCAGTGGTTTTGTGATCTGGTGTGGGGGAGGGGTGGTTGATTGTCTGTAGTTTACTGCCGTGGCACGTGAGGCGCAGCCCTCCAACCCTTTTTGCCTTTCCGGGGGGGTAGAAAAGAGAATAGAAGCCACTGATCCAATGCCTAATTGAATTTTGATGAAACCACGCACATGTTTCAGCTTGTCAGAGAAGATTGCGTCAACAAACAGTCAGGCAGAAATTGAAAATTACACGATAATAAATGAATAATGCACCTGGTATGCAAGTTAAATTCACACAAATTATGAGTTTATTAATTAAAAGTGTCATAGACTGGTTTTGTTACATGTATTAAACTGTAGCATTACATGTGACTCATCCTAATGTACTTGAAAGGTATGATCAGAAAAGCAACGAAATGTACATGATAAAATACTAAAAATATCTAAAGCATAGTAATGTGTTAATGCTGCATAATTGTCTGTTTTGTCTAGTGTCTTGTCTTAACAGGAAAATGGTCCTTTGTTTAGTGTTCAGCTCAGGAGATCATGCAGCCTTTTCAGGCCCTATACGGTGCTGTGCATGCTTGGTTTCTGAGAGGAGATTGCCTCTACATCTCAACAGACGTGATCTGAATTCTAAGATCATCGATTGACAGAGTTAACACTTGCGCAGTCATGAGCCAAGGTCTATATATGGAGGGCTTGCATGTTATTTCACAGGATTGAAACCGAAGTGACTGCACATCGTTTTTTTAATGCGCAATTTAATGTGTGTTCTTCTAGGCCAACATTGGGCAAGATGAAGATTTTGAAGCTGCCCGGAAAAAGGCAGAAAAACTTGGTGCAAAGAAGGTAAGATACAGAATGAAAGATTCTGTAACTTTAAGGGATCATCAGTAGTTTGAAATCTTCTCACCTTGAAAAAATACTGAAATCTGTAGACTGTTTCACAGAATGCTGATATATGTTTAAAAGGTCCAAACAAGGGACATTTGAGTCCCCTGTACCTCTAATGTTGCACCATATTGGTCTTTTTTTAAATAAAAACTAGCATTCATGTGTTGAAGGGAAACATTGACATAGATGTCAAATTAAAATTATCCTATCAGACGACAGAGCTTCCTCATGGCACATATTGTAACACTAGTGAACAAGTGTTTAAAATGTGTTTTTGAATGTTCTCTATGGCCTTAAAATGCAATGATATTGAGCAAAAGCAAGTTTCCAGCCTCTTCAAATACAATGTCATAGCATACTGTTACGAATGGACATCATTACCTGCTTTATTCAGATTTAAAGGATACATGCTTATATTATGAGACAAAGCTTCTTTGTGGCAAACAATCAGTTATTTTCCTAGAAGGGAAATATATAAATGGTTCTGTGTCCTGACATCCGTTCTTGTGCAGGTTTTCATTGAAGACCTGCGTTCAGAGTTTGTGGAGGACTTCATCTGGCCCGCAGTTCAGGCCAATGCGGTCTATGAGGACCGATACCTGCTGGGCACGGCGGTCGCACGGCCCTGCATCGGCCGCAGTCAGGTGGAGATTGCACGCAGGGAGGGCGCCCAGTTTGTCTCCCATGGTGCCACTGGAAAGGTAAACCAACCCCCAGACGAGAGACTATACTCTGGAGAAAGGAGGACAAATAATCTGCCAATATGACTAAATCCCAGATCCAAATTACATCTATTTAAAGAATATCAACATAAACTTGCCTTAGACTAGAGTTTGGATAGACAAGTACAATTGGGGAATGATATGGAAATAATGACTAGTTTCCTTCACTGGAATTACACCTTCAGAATTGTGTTTACAGGCTTTGTGCCGGATCCACAAGCATGCCCCAGCCAGTTTGAATTTTAAACACAAAATAACAGGGTCACTGTCCATAGTCTGGACATGATGTTGAACATTAACTTTTTTAACCAATCTGCAACAGAAGTCCACCCTCCTCAGAGCCAGTTTCACATATTGTGCATGTAAGAGAAAAAAGAAAATGTGTTCAGGATGCTTTTATATGGAGTCCTCTAAGTTGTTGTTTTTCTCATTACAAAATGACAATATAATAATAGAAATTAAGTGATGAAAGAAGCACAATCATTTAAACCTTTGGTTAAAGTTTTCATTACTTCTCATCTCTTTCGGTCAGAATAAGCACTTTAAAATAGATGTTAGACTAATATAAGGCTCTAATATTTTAAGTAAAATGTTATGAACAGTATTATTGTTACTTTTACTCTATTGTCAATGAATAAAGGAATCCTCTTTATTTAATTATTTAATATAACGTTTATTATAAAACGGACAAGTAAAATCAAGCAATCTGATTGGTTCTTAGCCGTGGTATACTGAGCGTATACCACGGGTAGAATTGTAAGTTACTTTTCACAACAAGTCAGTATCCCTCCGCGTCTGAGATAAACAGTATACAGTTGGGCTGAAAAGCAAACTGCTTCGCGTCGGGCCGAACCACGCCCCTTAGCTGTGATATAATGAGCATATACCACGGCCTGTCGTGAGCTATTGCTTAAATATACAATACCGTTACCAAGTTTTTTACACTTCTACAGAAATATATTATTGACTGTCATTTGATGAAATGCAGTGTCCACAGTTTTCCTGTAGATGGAGACAGATACCACATCATACTATACAGACCTCAAATAATTATATGTAACTTTATCACTGCTCAAGCACTGCTGTGCAATACAGCTGAATTCTTAGGCGATTCATCTATTAAAGAAAAGTCATCTGCAATTATTAAAAATATATATTTTAGTAATTTTGTACATTTGGTGTAATAAGATATATGGGATTTAGACTGTTGGTTGCACAAAACTGTTATTTGAATTATGACAACTTCAGCGCTTATATGCACACTTTCATTTCCTGTTGTTGATTTTAAACTGTTAATAGAATTTCAGGTGAACACTGTCTCACATGTGGTACATAACGCTGAGCCTTCGTGTTTGTGTTTTGCAGGGCAATGACCAGATACGTTTTGAGCTCACATGCTACGCCCTCTACCCTGAGGTTAAGGTAGGTGTGCTGTTTTACTGTATGGAGGTTATGGCTGGAACTGTTTGACACAGCATCTCAAAAATGAAAGTGCTGCAGAGGCCGACACTCTCTCCGTCTGTTCTGTGCAGATCATCGCACCGTGGAGGGTCCCCGAGTTCTACAACCGCTTCAAGGGGAGAATAGATCTGATGGACTACGCACAGGTAACTCCATCTGGCTGTTTGTGTCAAATGGAAAAATCAGTTTTTCAGTTCAATGGTATCTAGGGCAGGCAATAGAAAATCTTAGATTAAATAAAAAGTCTATAAAATGTCCAAACAGCAGAAAATAAGGTCCAAAAATGTTTTGTTCCACAAAAATATCCAATATGTCACAGATGAAAGGGATAGTGGTGGTCTAATGGATAGTCAGGTGGGCTGAAGATCGGAAGGTTGTGAGTTCAAATCCCGCCAGGAACACCACCACTAGTGTGCCCTTGAGTAAGGCACTTAGTCCTTAGTTACTCCAGGGAGAATGTCCCTGTAATTGGTAATTGTAAGTCGCTTTGGATAAAAGCGTCAGCTAAATGAAATGTAATGTAATGAAAGTTTAACCTAAAAGTATTACATTTGAAATGTCTCTAAAGCATCTAGGATGATTTCTCAGGAGCATATTAAGAAAAGAAAAGCAGTGATTACAGAAATATGGGTGCTGCATTTTATTGTAAAAAAAAGCCCTAAAATGTATTTATTGTTTCAATTTATTCCATTCTCGAATACTCTCCTGTCCTTATTTTACATCTGTATGGAGCGTTGGTAGAGCTTTCCTTATTTAATTCCCTTTGCTCTTTTTTCAATCCTTTTTTTAAAGATTGATTATTACATCCCTACTCTCTGCTTTCATTTAATTTCAAACCCATGATTATTAACATTTAACTAAACCACTCTCAGATTTATATTATTTTCACCATGCATGCAATCCTTTGCACACGGCTCATATGTTCCCATTAGATTGTGGTTTTTCCCCACTAGAGGGTGGTCATGGTGTTTTAGTGAACACCACTCTTTTGTTGGAGAACTGATATCTCACAATCTTAAAACACTACATTCTTGACTTTCCCTTTGAACATAACAAAAATATCATTCTTGGTTGATTGTTTTTGCTCTTTTCACTGCCGTCTCTTTAAGACAAAAGCAGTGTGAGGAAAACAATGCAATTTAGTTTCACAGCATGCCAAAAACCAACCGCTAGAAATAGTTTGCTTGGTTCCTTGTATTTTCAGATTTCTGACAGGCAGGTATAGCCCTGATTTATAGTTTCTTACCTTTATGTACTTTTAGCTTTCAGGTATGTAACAGTGTGTAAATGAACAACTCTCTCTCTATGTCAAACTCTAGAAACATGGCATCCCTGTGCCGGTCACTCCTCAGGCACCATGGAGCATGGATGCCAACCTGATGCATATAAGGTGGGTAGGAGTCTTCCGTTTCTATATTACTTCTTTATTTCAATCAGAAATAATAGACTGTAATTTTCTATATGATCTTTTTCTACAGCTATGAGTCCGGCATCCTGGAGAATCCAAAGGTAAGACCACTTCCTAATGGCATGACAATACATTTCTGATTCCTTTCCTTTCCTGTCCTATACTATTAGGTATTACTTTTGTCCTTCTTTTTGCCCCTTCTTTGATGAGTGTGCTGATATAATACTTTAAGAAACCGACACATTTAATGTAATAAAAGAAAAGGTCTGGTTAAATTCCAGGAAAGTCACTTGTTTAAATACCATATTTTTGTTTTGCAGAAATGTATGCTCAATGACATTTCTGACTTTAATCCAAACTGTTTAATTTTAATCTAAATCACTGATCCCATCATACAAGAATCTGCAAAAACTAATTGAAGCCATTAGCACTATTTTTACAGGTGAAAGAAAGATGTACACATAAAAAGTTCAAGATAAAATGTCTTGAGGCTCTGCATAAACATCTGGACAGTCGATGTACACAAAACATTCATCAGCCCTTGAAGAATAGATTTTAGTATTGGTACAGTTTGCTATATAGTACAGTAAATATTTACCGTCTCACAAACACATAATGTCAACAACAAACAACATATATATTTGTTTCACCCTTTTTGGAGTAACGTTAAAAATAACACAGCAGCACTGTTACGGTCCCTTCTGCTGACCCATGCCACCCCCACCAGAGACAAACACAACACTCTCTCCCACAGTGCCATGGGTGAATCAGAGTTTGATCTCTGCTGGGGTCACAGGCCAGCGCAGTACATACAGGTTGCCCCCGATGACCCCCAAAGCTCGCATCCCTTGGTCGCTGTGTCTGTGTCTCTGTCTCTCCTCACCCCGGGTCCTCGCCGGGCCCTGGGAAGAGCCTGGGACACACAGACACTGACTTGTCGTCAGCAACGCTTCGACTAATTCCCGATTTCATGGGAGCCGGGGAGGGGGAAGGGTTAGGGCGTTGCGCCCAGCTGGGGCCTCCTGAGTTCCAGCCCCAACTCCTCGGGACCTCATTGTTCCACTGGTTGCGCCGCCGCGGGCTGCGACGTGGGAGGGGAGCCATTTCATCGTGACACCGTGACACCAAAATGTCACCAGTAACAGTAAAGTACAAAGGCAGCGCGCCAGACAGATGAGTCCCCAATGGACGGGGTGTCACAAGGAGGCGAGGGGTCCCACTCTGTTGAAGTGGAGATGCAGGGGCAGGGCACTGTAACTCACAGACCTCTATCTCTCTCTTTCTCTGTCCCTTTCCCACCCCTCCGCTGCCTCTTTAGTGGTCGGCCTGTGGAGAAATGTTTTGAAAAGAATGAGGCGAACCGGCTCAATGGCATAGCGATGTATGATGACAGTATTGTGTAACTGATTTCATTCAGGGGTTTTGTGTTGGACCATTTACTCCAATATTGAATCGATTAATGGCATTAAATTCAATGAAATATTTATGGTCCATGGGTCCATAGTGATAAAAGGATTTGAATACATTACACAGGGCACAACATTATATTTGGAACTTTGAAACAAGCTGGGATTATTGAGTAATTTTTAGCAGCCAAAATCTCTGGGGGCACGTCCCCCTCTGGTAATTGGACTTTTTCCAAGTTTGTTAATTAGGGTCAGAGTAAACATCAACATCACACTAACAACAACAACAACATCTTAATATAATTATTACGTTAAATATCTATTTACATGGGTTTTAAAAGCAGGTTATTAATACAAATGAAAAAAAACGAGAATTTCTCACCCAACTCAAACCAACATGACAGATTCGGATTGACCCACAGGGTCATCTTAAAGAGGTCATCTTGTTCTAAGTATCTCCTCTCTGTATCAGCCTGTCTCTCTCCTCCAGTTACAGCCCTTAAGGCACAGGGCGGACCTCAACTATTCAAACCCCACAACGTACAAAGGCCCCTCTCTGCTCAACACAGTCAGATTAGGAAATGTCCAAATGGTCGCTCATATGTTCTCCTGTAGATAAGAGTCAGCAGAGTTCAGGTTACTCTATGATTAACACTGTATCCTTCCTGATAACCCTGGAGCACCTTGCCTGTAGCACAATGGCCTGGTGACTTTTTTTATTAACTCACCCCCATCTGGCAGCATTAACCTATGTGAAGACATGTGCCCAGGGCAACTGGTGTTATCATGTGTAGAATAGAGGTTGTCGTAAATAAAATGTATCACACTCCAACTTTAAAATGTTCTTAAAATGTCCTCAATCTATCTTTTCTTGTTTTAACCATTAAAGCAATATTGCAAAACAGTTAAAAGGACTACTTTATGGATATACTGCATTTAAAGAATTTTGTAATTTTATATTTAATTAACAGGATTATCTGGAGTTATCTTTCTATTTTTGCTCAATTGAATTCCAATTCATATTAGGATTCATACCCGGCATTGCATTGTAAAATTGTTAATTCTGCCATTGAAGATTTAAACCATATCATCCATCCGTAGGTTATTATAGTACTGTCTAGGCATTTTATAGACATGTCTCTTAATTTCTTATGTTGAGGTATTCATCAGATTTGATCAGCAATCTGTTAGGTGTCTCCACACCCCGCTGTTTTCTCTCCATACCTCCTCCACACATGAGCAGTCAGGGCCCAGCCTGAGGCAGCCTGACACTCGTCCTGAGTCATTAAAACATCACCTCAGTCTTAATTATAGCCTGTGTCAGTGGGCTTCCTCGGGCCCACCGCGCTCTTTGATCAGGGAGCTGATGCGCCGCTGCTCGTGTTGATCAGGAGTAAAGGAGCGTGACGCCTCTCCTCCGCTCACCTAGAGGAAATGAAATCTTGTTTTCTGCTGGTCGCATGGCTGGCTGGAAAGAAGGACAGACATAGGATGCCTGTAGGGGAAGGAAGTGGGCTTGTACGTGTGCTTTGAAGCAAGGAGGTCAGTGTTTGTAATCGGCCTTCGCTGCCCTCAGGTGTGATTGGTCTGACCTGTTATACTTAGACCGCGCTACCTGCATCCAACTCGCTATCTCTATAGCTTTGCTTCAATGTAGAAGTGCCTGTTATCCTCATTCAATTCATCTGAGGACATAGCATTAACCAAAACAACCGTGGTGTTAAGAATATAATGTCTCTTCAGTATGCGTATATTGATTTATCCTTGTCTCAATTTACCATGTTTGCATTTGAAAGACAATGACAGACTTGAAACATGGTGATTTAAGCGTCATTTCCAACTCATTGCGCCAAATAGATTTTCGCCATCCTCTTCTCTTCTATCTCCCTCTCAACTCTCCCCTTCTTTCCTCCCCCTCTCCCTCCTGCCACCTCTCCCTCTTTTGGCTCTGTTGGCTTCAATTGAAAACCAATGAGGCAACTAATATGTGGAAAGATAGAAATGTACTTGCTTTAAGTTCATGCGTCAGCCCTCTTCTTTGCTGTATGGGCCACGTTTAGCACAACAATATGGCAGGAGCAAAGACTGCCAAAGGAGCTGCTCAGCGCTACATGATGGTGAGCTTCATGCCCCATTTCCCACCAATACCCCCCGCCCCCGCCCTCTCTGTCTCTACCTTTTCCACTCTTTCAGGGCCATGGCTTTGGGACAGGTCCACCTGCAGGGGGTTTGAATTGAAATGCATTGATCTCTGGCTCACTGGAAACAAGCCTATTCCCTTTTTTTTTCTTTGTATCCAATAGTCCAAGAGTAAGTTTGAGCTCTCTTGGTTAGCGCATGCATGAGTTTTCAAGCGTTCCTCAGCCAGAAGCATGACTTTATAGATTTTAACTTTGTTTTTAATTCAACAAGTGGAATTCCTTCTAAAATGAGACTTCTATCTAAGCCATGCAGTTAAGTAGTAAATACTTTTGTGCAATAAAGAGAGTCAAATAGGTAATAAACTAAAACTGGAAATACATTTTAATTCTTTCTTAACCAGAAATCGAGATATTCCTTCATTAAAAGCTAAAAGAAAAAGGGGTTGTTTGGGAGCCATCTGTATTTTGCAGAAAGACTTAATCTTGGCCTACTTGTTTAAGAAGTGCATAACATGTCAAAAAACATAAAAATAATAAACACTTTTCAATTTTTTCCATAAGTTAGCAACACATACAGACAAGGCTAATATGCACTGTGTTTTATTTGAAGATTGGAAATGTTAACCGTTGGTTTACAAGCAGCCTATAACACCACAGGAACTATATACTTTCACATTCTCCAGTATTTAAAATTCAGTCCATCGTCCTCCCCCTCAAAGTATGCATCAAAAGGCTTTTTAGGGGAGTCATTTCACCCCTCTCCTGTTCACTCTCATTTGGCATCTTTCAGGGCACTGAGGCAGAAAATAAAGGAGAGGAAGACGGGCGCCTTCCCAGTCAATTTTGGTGTTTAGTTAAAAGGAAGGAAAGTGATTGCTCTGCTCGTTTTCTCTTCACTGACAGGCGACGAGCCGATGCCGATTAGTTATTGTATGATGATTTAGTGTCTGGTAAAGCTTTCCATTTAAATGCACCCAGTAGTTATTTTGCATAGTCCCCCTGCAATTTGCCTCAGCTCAGGAGACATTGGCCATCGCCTTGTCCTAATGCTGTGTAATTGTTGGAGGGCCACATCGCTGGGCGGACACGTCAGACTGCCACGCTCTTTTAGGTCCCAACGCTGACTTACTGCAATCTTTACTGGCTCCCACCATCTGGAAAAACAACAAACATCTGTCACCCAGGACAACTTTAGTGGATTTAGGGTGTGGAGTTTGCTGTGTGATGCCCATGTTCAACATTTGTCATTTGAAATAGAATAAAAGGGAAATGTCAGTCAGAAAATCAAAACTGGAAAACTGGAAGGTAAGAGAAAGTGAACGCATGTAGGCAACAAAGGTACATGATAGAATCAACAGATCTAAGATTTTCACAGACAGGCAGAATAATATTGAGGACAAATAGTTTCCTTTATATTATCAGGTGTGATTTGACTTGTCAAGTGTTCACTATTCTCGTGGATAGGAGTCATTTCTTTCTTTTGTCCTTTCTCTTTCTCGCTGCCTCCCACTTTACCCCGTCTTCCCCCTGTGGTGAAGGGCCTCGCAGGGAAAATGAACCAAATAGAGGAGAAAAATGGAACATTGATTTTTTTTTTTCTTTTTTTTTTTCGTCCCCACTCAACTCTTGATGGTGTTTTCAGGTTTCCCTTTTTTCACGCATCATGCTCTCTTTTATTCTCTCGCTATGTCTGGAGTTGTACGTTATCACCTCACACAATAGTCTCCCCATCCGCACTTTGATGAGGTCTCAGAAGGTCCGCGTTATTCATCGAGGGGAATCAAGTGTGTGAAATAGAGAGTGAGTGTGTGTCTTTGTGTGTTTTTCAGAGCAATGCTCCGGCTGACCTGTACCTGATGACCAAGAACCCAGAAGAGTCTCCCAACACCCCCGATGTACTGGAGATAGAGTTCAGCAACGGTTTGTGCCTCATACACGGTTCACCTGTTGATATATGTCAGTCTTAACCTTATCACCTTAACAGTTTTTAAAAACCTAATGCCAAAAAATATGTAATATATACAAAATACGTTTTTTAATTCCCTTTATATATAAGAAAGATCTGCAACACAATTAAGTAGAACAATTTAAAACATCTGGAATATAATCGGCCTTGTATTTGTGAAATTGATTTGGTGTTTGTCTGTTTAATGCAACCTGGTCTCTTGCATTTGAGCTTGCAATATGTCAGATTTTAGGTCAGATTACATTTGATTGGCTGCTATAGGCTGTTTCCTATTATAGGTTTACTTAGCATAATTTGTTTATCTAATTATCAGCTCTGAACTTCTCTGATGCATCAATGAGATATAGGGTCCATCCTCACTCAGGGTCCACGTTCTTCCTTATTACTTAACATTGGTGTTTATGGCCGCAGGGCTACAGCTCTCACACTGACCTTGTTGCACTTTATCACCCTTCCTGACCACCCAGACTTATCCTTAACCCTTCACAGCATTACTCGATCCAAAGCTGCCATGTTTAGCTCCAGGGCACACACAGGCCGGAAGCATTAAGTCCAGCTAATACACCAAGCCCTGAGGGGCCAGAGAAACGCTCATTAGATATATTGCCAAGAGGGCCGAGCTGAATAGTGGAAAGTGTCACATGCTTGCGTAAAGAGTAAATGGCAAGAAACATCCCAGCCTGGGGCAAATGGCACAGATGTCCCTTCATCCCTGGTCACTAGTGGAGGCTGCAGATCACTAACTTCAATCGGAGGAGAGACACTAGCTCCTCTGATCATATTGACTTAATGGGCAGCTTTTATGAGCTGTAATAGTAATATAAGGGAAGTTCAGAAGGTTGGCAGAAGAGTTGGTGGGAACATTTGTGACCACTTAAGCTGCTGAAAGTGACGATTAAAATGCCATTGAGAAGTCAATATGTATCTGCACTGAAACGGTGTTCTGAATATTTTCCTTGGGAAACTGGTAAAGTGTTAGCAGTTTCTCAAAGAAACAAGTAGGTTGGTGTCAGTTCAGCTGGAGGTGAGATATGCTTTTGTCAAACAGAGATGCAGTAGTAAATCGAGTCTGCTTTCGCGGGTTCTTTGCAGGCCTGCGCTACGTTTTCACACATATTCTCTGTGCCTTTTATTGAGCACTCTATGACAAAAGCTGTTTTAGTTGTCCACACAAAGGCCCGAGCCTACTCCTCCCTCTGAGCACAAGATCAGCACAAGAATGTTTCATTTCATTCCCCCTCCCACCTTTTCATCCCTGCCTTTCTCACCAAAGTTTTCTCACTGATTAAAAAAGAATATTTAACGACAGGAACCTTTTCCCCCGTCAAACACTCCATTCCCAGATTCTCTCCCTATTTTAAGAAGGAAAAAAAAAAAAATCATCCCTCCCTCTTTTCATACCAAAGAAGTATAGAGGAAAAAGAGACAGAGAGGAAAAATGTAAAGCAGTAATTTTTCCTACAACTGTGTCTGTGCTCCCATTGTCTGCACTGTTAGGCTGCGAAAAAACTGAAGAAAAGGATCACGGAGAGAGAAAAAGACCCCTCAGTGAATGATCGAACCCGTATGATGGCGAGAGCGAGCAAAAAGAGAGCGCAGGGACGAAAGGCCAGCCCCTACACTCCCACGTTCAGACACTTAATTTATTTGAACTTTTAATCTAATTATTAGGTATCTGGGAGGGGGTGCAGTTTTGATAATGCACCATCCACACTGCCCTCTCCTGCACTGGGAGGTAGGTTTTTCTTCTGCCATGGGAGCAAGCACGATTCCCGCGATATGAGAATGGGCCATTAACAAAGCCCTTGTCTGAAAAAATGTGTCAAGTCCTTCACGTGTCATTCCTATCAAAGCTTTGTAAGCGCCGGTTGAAAGGCCAACAGAAGTGCTGCTCTTCACCTCAAAGCTGTGTGACTGACAACTGCAGGCATGCTAAAGTGTGTGTGTGTATAGGAATGAGCACTGTTACGGATGGAGAGGGAACATCAGCAGATCTTATCCTCTTCTTGTGTAGTGCGCACATGGTTATATTCCCTTCTCAACACACACACACACACTAGGACACACAGCCATGTCTCGTGTTTGTTTCCGCGCCTCCACCTTTGGCCCCATGTTGCTCATTGAAGGCCATGAATAAGCAGGTCCATGACAGTGATTGATGTGTACTTGGTTTAAGAGGCTTTGGAGAGGAAGTGTGTGGATTGAGCGTGGGTGTTTAAAAAAAGGAAAAGAAAATGTGTGTGTGTGTTTGAGACATGATACCAGGTAGATGGATGATGATGAATCTGCAACTTGTTGGGGTTTTTTTGTCTCCTGCACATGCGCATGAACACACAAACACCCAGTGGTGCAAACAATCTCAGCGCTAAGGAGAGTATGGGTAACAAAGCTGCGTGTGTAATTGAATTAGGAAAAGGCCTGCCCACGATTTCACAGCTTTCAAATGAGCTGGGCCTTTGAATTTATTAGCCTTTCTCACCACCTCCTTTTGTGATGGCTTTTACTTTTAGCTGACAACTATTGATTTCAGTGGCTGAGATAATGAGCACTTGTCAGCAAATTGTATCAAGTCTTTGCGATTTTTTTATTTTATAATTGGTTTCTTAAAAGCCATTTCACAAACTGGTCGATTAACTGTTCCTGTAAGGTATCAATTTAGTTTTTTGCGGATTATTTGTCGATTTGATTATCTGATATAATTGAAAATCACTTTGGGCTTGCACTATTTTTATTGTTTTTTTATATTTATTTTTGTATGTCTTGTAAAATCTAAGTTTTTCATACATAACATAATTACACCGTAGTTTTGTATATGTTATGACAATAAGCCTTTGAATCTAGAATGAATCTTTGTTGTTGCATTGCTTGTAGATTAGCCTTTAGACTTCTGTTCTTTTTGGGAATTTTATCATAGAAATGCACGCAGGTGTGTTTTCTTTTCTTCCTAAAAACACCCAAAATGACCATGACAGCTCTGTGTTTAAAGGCAATATTTATGAAACATTGATATCATATCTACAAACTGGACAAAACACACTCAACAAACTCTGACAAGAAATACATTTTTATTTTCAAATCAAAATACACATTTCTATTAACTTACAAAGATAAGAAGAACATGTTACATTAATTGCTGTTTCAGTTTTTGAATCTTTAACATCAAATTATGATTTGAAAAATGCAATAAACATTGTTCCAATGGAGAGCATGAAACCGATGTGCTAATGTTCTACTTTTCTTCCTGCCAGTTAGATTGTGACATGGTTTTATTAAATTCTTAACACTATCCCAAAGATGGGTTCCAAATGAAATTCAATTAATTCAGGGCAAAGATTATAAATAAGAAACAAATTAGTTAGTAATATAATAAATATTGTTTCCCCTTTAGGAGTGCCTGTGAAGGTGACCAATGTGAAGGAGAGCACATCGAAGGACTCGCCCCTGGATATCTTCTCATACCTCAATGAGATTGGGTAAGCCTTTTTTCTATTATCATTAAAGCTTTTATTTGAAAGTGAAATTGTCATTAACTTTATACATTGTAATTGATTTTTATAAGGCATCTGTTTAAGTTAAAGTTGCTTCTTCATTACATGCATCGAAAACTAGATTGTAACATTTGTAGATCTAAATGTATTATGTCAAATAAATGTGTATAGTCAAGGGAATTCTTTTTATTTTTTAGCTTTGCTATTCTAAATATCATATTTTAGGAAAGTAGATGATGAACAAAACAGATGCAAAAGCTTCTTCTTATCACTACACCAATGATGCTCATAGGTGTTTGGACATTTCACTAAGACAATTATTAAAATAAGGCTGTGATTTATTTATTTTTTATTTTCTCTGTATTCATTAATTCATAAATTAATAAAGAGATAATTATTATAATTATGTTTGAGTCTAGCAGGTTTTGCTCCACTGAAATGTGTATGGCCCTCCTTCTCTTAGTGGAAAACATGGCGTGGGTCGGATTGACATCGTAGAGAACCGTTTCATTGGCATGAAGTCCAGAGGTAAGGAATTAAACATTTATATTTATTTTCAACTGTCTAGGTAATGATATTTTTTTTTCTCTATACAAATCAGCCTGACAGGTGCACATAGGCAAACAGTGATATACGCTGTAATATGCAGGGAGACATATTGGCACTTTCTCTGAAAAACGTCTGAATATTTTAATTCTACATCCATTCAAAAGCTTTCCTTTCAGTGTCTGTCCAGGGCTTTCATGCAATTTGCAGTTATTTTACATGAGTGCTTTTTGTCACACCTGCTTTTCCACTTCCATAAAAGCGGGCCGAATGAAAAACACACTCTCCTTCAAGGAAAGGTTTTTCTCTGGTTCACCTGGAATAAAAGCCACTGAAGTTATTTTCCTTCTCTTATGCATGCACAAACATACAGAAAACACCCACACTGCGAACAAGATAACGGCGCACACGCTTCACTGGATACACACAAATACACAGTGGATCACGTATGTGCACATGCAGTCGCACAGGGATGTTTTTGTCTCTTTATCTCTGGTGTCAACAGGCAACTTGAAAAGCTCCTTTGTTAGATCTCTACATGTGTTACTGCAGCTAATACACGAGGGCAGTGAGCCGTCCTGGCCTTGCATGATGCACCCCCCCCCCCCCCCCCCCCCCCCCCCCCCCCCCCCCCCCCCCCCATATGTTTTATGATTGGCAAATTGACTGGCCAACAGACTTGTAGCTGTGGCGCAACTTGGCAGGTAGAAATTGGAAAATGGGAAGCCCACTTTTCTCTCCCCTCGACTGAACAAAAGATCAACGCTTTTTCCTCCACTGAAGCAGTAGGAAGAGGTGGAGCACAAGGTGTCCAAGTGGTTGAATAACTACCATCAAGTGTACATGTTGGTCTCCTCTGGACTGGCAGTCTTGTTAGCACAATAGATGATGGGAGGGATTGAATGGGCACATGTCATACCTATTTGTGTTGGGTCATTTTTATTTGTGTGGGGTCAGGGAGGCGGGGGGGTTTGAAATGGTTTGTCAAGAATGTTGTCACTGTGCTACAAAACATTCAACAGCCTGTGTGTCAGACTAACATTTCCCACCTGTCACAGTGCTGTCAGGCCTTTGACCTGTGCGCCGGTGATGGCGTTAGCGGAGGTGCACCTATCAAAAGCAGTCGGAAATTGCTGTGTCTCTTAATCATTAACAGGCTGCCTGACGTCCAGTCCTTGCTACTGTCAAAACTCAAAGACTGATGCACTGAAATCATTCTCACAGCCCCAAAAACATTTTAAATGTAGTTTCCATGTATTGACATTACTCATACAGGAATGTCCCTCCTCTAAATAGCACAGTTTCACTTTAAATTGTACTTAAATCTTCATTTAAAGATTGTTATCTGCTTTTTTAAACATGTGTTGCCTGTTTATGATGGACTCTTTGCCCAAGGGTTAAAGGGGATCAACTCAGGAAGAATTAATTCCTGACCTGAACCCCTTCAGGCCTGCAGCGTGGTTAGCATACCTGCAGTAACCGTATGAAAGAGTTAAAACTCCAAAACCACTGGGGGTGTTGTCTCTTTAAGCTTAACTAAACTGCCACTGTCGGAGCTTGCCCAGATAGCGTTTCATTGTTTGCTCCTCGCTGATAAGCCAGCTCTCTTTTAGGGTACTTAAGCCAAGTTGTGTTGGAGGGCATCTTTATCTGATTTATCTGATAGAGCCAACGGAAATGTCCCTACGTGCCCTCCGTGGCCCTGGATCACTAAAAAGCCACAAGCCGTTCTAGCTCAGGTGGAAACCTTTTGAGGATTTAGACAATTAGCAGCATTGCTAAGCTCTTGGCCGCCAGCATAAAGACGGTGCTTCTCCATTTTCAGATCAGGAACGCTGTAGGAGTGTTTGGGGTCTTACAGATTTGAGCTGCTTCCCAGATCGGAAGAGATTAAATAGTGTTAATCTGTTTAAATGGCAGAAACACGTTTTAAAGATAATACACCACTCAAATTGTGACATTTAGCTGTCTTTTGTTGGCTTCAAAACTTCTGGTTGGCAGTAAATCCATTTTTATTTAACCATCATTCAAATTGACAGATGATGAGAAACCATGTATTGGCTTGGGAAACCTACACTCAGTTTTTTCACAATTTCAGCCCTGACAAAAATGGATGTCATTGATAAAGCTCCAATTTCTGTTGTCAAATCTGTCGGGGAGCACTTCCACTGCCCCCCTTTTGTTTTAGCTGACATGCGATTGACAGCTTCATTTCTCCTGCCATCTACCTCATCTTTTCTCCCCTCACCCCTCCCTCCCTGTCCAGAGGGGGTAAATTGCAGGGTAGGCAGAGCCCAGGTCCGGGCTCCAGGCTGGCAGGGGCCTCCTACCCTGTCATTTACACAGGACAGGCTCATCCATGTTCTGTGAGCGCTGTGAAGGCCTGTCTGTCAGGCGGCTGATTGCTAATAGAGCTTTGTGTCAGAAGAACAGGGCTTGTATTCCTATGAATGGCCTCTGATGATGGCAATGTGGACGGAGGTGCTTGTTGTGATAAAATTAAGTGATGTGGTGGAGGATTATGTGTACTATTTGCTACAATATCTATAACTTGTGTCTCAAAAACATGATGGATGGTACAACATTTTGTGTATTCTTTTTGTTCTGTTTGTCAGGGATTTATGAAACCCCAGGAGGCACAATTCTGTTGCAGGCTCATTTAGACATTGAGACCTTTACCATGGACAAAGAAGTGCGTCGCATCAAACAGGGCCTCGGGATCAAATTTGCTGAACTCGTCTACAACGGTAAGTCCCTATAATACACGCTCTAATAAGATGGTTTCACTTAATCTGTTGTATGTATTGTCTTTCATTCCCCTCTATCTCTGGCCTCATTGCTTAGTCATAACTTTAAAGAAGGGCATGCCAGTATATTTATCTCGGTACAGGTTAAGCTACTTAGAAATACCATGATTGGGCATTACACATCCACAGTAACTGTCCATAAAGACTTCATATTTACCTAACTGATTAATTATGCCTTATTGTCATTTGCACCATCTAAATTGTTTGCCTTTACAAAATCATATGGGTGATCATCACTGGTAGTTGTACATGTCAGATATAGAACTAGACCAAGCCCGTATATCAATGTTTGTGTCATTCCTGGAATAAGCAACACAAAATTGCAGCACGGACATGCAGGACCGATAGGCAGAAAGACTATCGGTAGACTGAAGTGTGTGTGTGTGTGTGTGTGTGTGTGTGTGTGTGTGTGTGTGTGTGTGTGTGTGTGTGTGTGTGTGTGTGTGTGTGTGTGTGTGTGTGTGTGTGTGTGTGTGTGTGTGTGTGTGTGTGTGTGTGTGTGTGTGTGTGTGTGTGTGTGTGTGTGTGTGGTGTGTGTGTGTGTGTGTGTGTGTGTGTGTGTGTGTGTGTGTGTGTGTGTGTGTGTGTGTGTGTGTGTGTGTGTGTGTGTGTGTGTGTGTGTGTGTGTGTGTGTGTGTGTGTGTGTGTGTGTGTGTGTGTGTGTGTGTGTGTGTGTTTCTCGGCTCAGGTGTCTTAATCATCCCTTCTGCTCTGTCTCCAGTCTCCTGCACCTTCATCCACATAATAGGATCAGTGCCATTAGAGACTGACTACTAGGCCACTTCAGTTATACCCTCCAGAGAAAGGACACACACACACACAAAGGTGCTACTTCCAGAAGCAGGGCAGAGATTAAACCCAATGTGTGTTTAAATCATTAATGAGTCTGCAGATTGATAGCAGACTGTTGGCAATGGGGCTTATGTTAACAATCCACCTGTCCTGCATCTGTTTTGCATAAATACGTTATTAATTACCCAAACACATTTTCACAAGAGAATCTGCAGCAATTAGATGTAGCGCAGTACAGATTTAGCAATGGACAAGGGGGAAGTAAACAACAGCTACATGTGTATTATGTGTCATTTAATTCTGTCATCGATTTAGAGAGATTTAATCAAAGGTGGTTTCATGTAAATAATAAATCCTTATTGTTTAATGTAACATATATAAATCCTCGCTTTAAAATTGAAAACAAAATGTAATTGAAGAATCCATAATGAAAATAATAATCATTGAATGAAGAAAATCACTGACATATAGAGAAACATGTACACAGAACCAACATGAAGAAGGAATAAAACTAGTCGGCTTTAAATGTAACTGCGCCTGTGTTAGAGTGTCATGTCGGACGCCTCGTGCCAATCCAGAGGCAGCAAGACGGGGAAGGTTTGTGTCTTTGAACATGGCCAGATGATGAGGTGGAGGTCAGCCGCTGATGAGAGGAGGACCCCCGCTGAGTGGGGCGTGTCCGACCTCTGAACATATACAGACACAATCTCGCCCATCTGTCTCAGAGATTGAAGGGCCAGGTCAGAGAAATGAGACAAAAGAAAGGGGAGTATGAACTTCACCTGGAACAGAAATGAGACCAAAACACAGTTTCAGCTCATGAAAGAGAAAAGTGTGTGGGCATCACACACACACACACACACACACACACACACACACACACACACACACACGCTTGTAGATGTACAGAGGAGGAGTCTCTTTCTCCACTTTTCCATCGTGTGTATAGTTTTCCCAATGTTCTAATTGATAACAATACATTATAATAGTTGATGTTAATATATATATATGAATGCAAATATGAGACAATAGAAACTAAAACAGTTTTAAACAAACCTTCACCATATATTATTTAAATATGTTTCTGTTTGCTTGCTCGCCTCAGGTTTCTGGTACAGTCCCGAGTGTGATTTTGTGCGACACTGCATAAACAAGTCCCAGGAGAATGTGGAGGGCAAAGTACAGCTGTCTGTCTTCAAGGGCCAGGTCTACATCATGGGACGAGAGTCACCCAAGTCCCTTTACAATGAAGAGTTGGTCAGGTAAGCAAGGACATAATGTCATTCTGTGTTTCTGTGTGTTCCAATCATTGAAAGTGTGTATGTCTGAGGAAACAAATGGGGGTCATTAACAGTTCTTACATTTATATATTTTGACAAAAATAGTCCTTAGGATTTTTTACTTTTTAAACTGTCTCCTGCATTTGCGCAACCTTCCTCAAAAAGTGTGAACGTAATGATCAGTACCTACAACTATGCAGTTTTTGGTCCTCTAGTTTTAAGGGAATTGAGCTTGAAAAGACCCTTGAAAGTTCATTGAATTTGATGTTCAAACCCTGTGCCATGTGTCAGAGAATCAAAGTGTGTGCTTGTTCTTGACAGCTGTGTTTGGCCGCTCCTGGCACAGTGCGGCCTCTTCCACATGTTCACCAATCAGCCTGTTGCTAGGTCAGCTCGCCCAAGTTTCTCTTATGACCTCTACATCAACATACTAAACCGACCCTGCCTCACAAAGACATCAGAGAAGTGTCAAGCTCAGTTCCTGGAGGGCAGACCCGACCTCAGCCCCGCCTACAGCACCCCCGTGGCCTCTTAGCTGCACTAACAGTGGGTTTGTTCAGGACGCTGACCCCTGATGCCCTCTGGCCAGGCTCAGCACTGACCAAAGTAAAAACCCTCCATATGCCTCTCCATCTCCTCTTCAGTCACACACACTCCAGTCAGAGAGCTAATGGCCTTTTCAGCCAGAGGAGGGAGGAGATTTCTCTGGGTTTTAAAAGGAAAGTACCTGGGTGTCATGCTAGTTAAGCAGGTCAGAAAGAGTAAAGCTAGGACATGTCTCACATGGTCAGCCATTCAATTTGGATGGATATTTTCTCCTGTGTGAGAGAGATAAATAGAGTTGACACTGTACTCATTCAGCCTGTTAAAAAGGACATTTCCCCAAAATATAAAAAAATATATATACATTTCTTCTTAACTGTGTTGCTATTTATCAATCTGTGTAGCCTTGGTGTAAGTTGCCAAGTGTTGGAGTAGTTAAGTAGAAAGAAATAGTATTAATCACTAGTGTCACCTTTTTTCCTTATATATCTAGATTGATAAACTGCACTACAGGAAAAAAGAAAAAAATTCTGTTTTGGGTTCAACTTTCCTTTTGACACATAGCATTTTTATTGTATTGGATAAAGCTTTGTCTCAGTTTTTGTTAGTATTCTGTGTTGAGTAATACATTATTTACTTTACTGCTGAGTCACTCTCAAGATAAACTACGACTCATCCATCTTTCATCCAGTCAGTTGCTAAGAAACTCTCACTGATGAAGTCTTGCGTTCTCAGTTCAACACCTGACCTTGTAAAGACACATTTCTTATCTGGGCCGACACATGAGTGAGACTGAGGTGTTGTGTTGCAGCATCACAAAGTCCTGGAGGCCCCTGACAGATGGGGCAGTGGTTCCTCATGAGGGAGCACATAACAAGCAACCCCAATAGAAAACCATCACAAATCAGTTTCAAATGTAGTCATGCAGAGTGACACACATCCTTAAACCGTGCTAATGAAGAACAACAACTATTTTCAAGTAATGTGGTTCTTAATTAGCACGTTTTTCTTACCTTCTGGTCATCCATTGCAAATATTTAGTTGGTTTAAATGTAACCAATGTTTTGTCTCCAATATTTAATAATAAAAAACATTAAATTACTTTATATAATCTCCGTATCTGTTTTTGAAATAAAATCTTAGGGAAGGATTTACCGGCTCACATACATGTAAATATATCTAATATGTATATATGACCCAAATATGTATATATGTTCATTTCAAATCATTTCTTATTTTAAAGTTACCTAACTTTATATAATTTAAATGTTATCTTTAATTGTATTAATCTTTAATCTTGTGTGAATCTGTGCTGTCCTGTTTTTCAATCTTACCCTTTTGCGGTTTAAACTCCTGAATTTCCCCACTGGGATTAATAATATCTTATCTTAAATAATACATTTTGATATCAAAGGTGACTTTAATTGTTAATTATTACATGGCTTAGTTGAATACTCTATTCTGATTGGTCAATTCAGAACACGTGACACGTTGTTAATCCAGAACAGAACAAACAGACCGCTGTCAAGGATTTATTGACCGTTGTTAAGCACGCTCACATCTGCACAAAGAAGTTCCGTCGATTTAACTGTATACAGTTTGACAAGAGAATAGCGACAAGAAAACAGCGGAGAAGTAACGGGCAGAAACCCTCCTTTTTACGCAGCGGTCCAGACATAGACATCAAACGGCAAAACATATTCAGTTGCCAGTTACTTTGGCATTAGGGCAGGGATATCTAGATACTTTCCAAGGTTTGACATCATGAATTGTGCTACTTTTAAAGCCAACAACGATGTTTTCAAATCTGTAATCAAAAAGCTCCGCCTACGTATTTCAAACGGTAACAACGGACTATTTTTCTTAGCGGATGCATATCAATTTAAACCAATACATACAACTATTTTTTAAATCAATAAAAACATTTTCTAAATCCATAAAAGCATTTCAATTAATATTGGGAGTCATGTCGTGACTTTGTTGAGAATGTGGCCATGTAATAAGCGGGATAATGTGCAGCGACTTGGTCATTATGGGGAAAAGAACACCCTTCATGCTGATCAAGATCTGATCTGTCGGGTGTTCTTTTCCCTATAATGACCGCCTCGCTGCACATTATCCCTTACTTAATAAATTGCACATATCATAAAGGAAACTTGACTGGAAATATTTGTATAATATTATATTTGTTTGAAATATTAACATAAAATAAATCCACTAATCAGATAAATTGATATATTAGATAAGTAACCATCATTTCTCTACTGCCCACAGTCCAATTCAATTATTGTTCTTCTGTCACAAAATATGTATATTTGTACATATGAAGTTATTATGCTTTATTAAAACGTATTAAAAGAGTGCAGATGTATGCATACATGTAGTGTACCATACAGTGATACACCTGGAAGCTGCCGTTTCTCACACGCACACTCATCTACCACTTCATGACGACCTGCCACAATCTCACACACACACACACACACAGACCAGATTAGGCATGAAGCCCCCGCTGACATCCTGTTGGCTCTCCACAGGCAACAGTAAACGGCGTCATTAACACAGTGGTAATACAGCCCGTCACCGCACCCTTCTGAGAGAGAAATGTCTCCCTCCTCACTGTCCGCTGGCTCCACTCTCAATTAGACTGCAGGGTTTCTTAAAGGAATACACAAAATATCCCATGCTCACAGCTACACACACACACACACACATATTCTTTAAAGCCACTCACTCATAATGGTGTTCAGGTGCCGGGCAGGGAGCCTTGTATTGAGAGTAGATGATTTAGTCACTCGGTCTTTCTTTTTATAGTGTTTATCCTATCAATTGTTGGCAATTTCCTCTTTTGCTAAGTGCTTTTGAAGAAGGCGTGCAGGCTGTACACTGGGAGCTTGGAGCTGGGGGTGTCGCAGGGAGGAGAGGACTCAGTGTATTAAGGAGTGTATTAAGCACTGCAGGTAGAAACTGCTGTAATTACACAGCACACGGACACTCTTTGTGAGACACTCGCACACACTAAGACAAGATGACAGCCTCAATGACATGGAAGCAGAGTAGCACAAGTTTTAGATTTGCGTCTTGTTTTGTTTTTTAAGAACAAGCGGATAAACTTGAATACAGAAAAATCAAATTAGAAAATCCTCTCAACACTTAGCTCAGTGTTGATATGATGGGATTGTTTTAAAATGGGTTATGTGCGTCTGTTGTGTGCTTGTGTACATGAGCCAGTTTTCATTCTGCAGATATTGATCCTCGGTTATTCAACACAAACAATGATAAAGACGAGCATTCAGAGGATGATCGATCGCAATATCATTTCAAAGCATTGTCAATGATCCAGGTTTCCTAGTAGTTGATGAGGCTCCTGTGTTTACTGCAATGATACCAAACATTGAAATCATTCTGTTAGCACAATCTCCTGTAAGTCTTTCCCTTCGTAGTTGCTCATAGCAATGTTTTCCTCTAGCAAATTTGAAGATCGGTCTCTGTTGACTCACAAGCTTATTTAAAAAAAAAAACGTATTTTCCCAACAGCATGGACGTGCAGGGAGACTACGACCCATGTGATGCCTCTGGATTCATCAGGATTAATGCTGTCAGGTTAGCATCCCTTGCACTATAAGAAATCTCTCAACCGCTGCACAGAACAGTCAGAAATGTCTATTAAAGCGACTTGTTCCACATGTTTAGACCTTATTACTAGCCTTTAATCCGCCACCTTATTCTTTGTCCTTCTTCTCCTCCACAGGTTAAGGGAACACCACCGTTTGCAGGGTCTCTCCAGCGTCAAGAAATAACTTGTGCAGTCCTGAAAACCATCTTTCTCTCTTTCCTCCTCTCTCTGCTGTCTTAAGCAGTAGTAGGTTTAGACTTTGTGCCTTTTGCCTTATTGTCTACTGTTAGTCATATTTAGGGTATCTAGCACACTAGCTAGCACACTAGACGCTTTCTGCAAAATGTTACGCTTCTATTGTGATGAATAGAGAAGAAAAATATAAAAAATTTTACACAATACCATGAAAATAGTTAGAATTAGATGTACAGGTGATTAATAGTTTTTTTCTGGGTGAGCATTTTTTTAGAATGTATTTACTGGTATTTCATTTTTTTAGTTTGTCTCCTTTTATGCATCAGTAGGTCAGTACAAACATTGTAACTAGGGAATAATTGTTTCAGGAATAAAGCAGACTGAAATGCGTTTTTTTCTTTTCTCTTTGTGGTAAATAATGAGCATTGCAATGAAGCAAAAACTGGCTATAGAAAACAGCCCCTTTGCGACTAATTGCGTAGGTGATTATTTGTTCTAATTTTTGGCAGACTGCCTATTTATCAGGGCCTGCCTGTTTAACTGTATAGCCGTATATAGTCGCTGCCCCGTGAATATTTCAGGGCAGCGCGGACACTGGATCATATTTACAATATGCAGATGAAGCGGTAGCAGTGCGTGAATTTTGCACAGCGATAGTCAGCATGGTGGTTTGCAGATAGCCGCTGGAGCAGAAGTGATGAGGCCATTTCTGAGCTCAAATGGCACAAGTCAGATGGAAAGAAAAAGCAATTGGCCACATATGCATATTCCCTGCACCACAGGGGGTCTTTGAGCTTAGAGAACAGAAGAAAGGGGGGAGAAGCATTTAAATTCAGTATATTATACCTTTGTTTGAATAATCGATATCCTGGTATGAATGGATGTTTTTCTCAGTCTCGCTTATATGACCTTTAGACTTAAATGCACACTAACATCAGTTCCTCCTTAAATGTAAAATGGCAAATTACAATAATATGACACTACAAATAAGTGATGAATACATTTGTATTATTTCTGAAAACTTAAAAGAAGTCAAACCACCTGCATAATAAGTTTTAAAAAAACAATTTTCACCTCAAACAAGTGGAGGCTTTTCTTATCTAAATCCCATTTCAGTTCAAGTGAATGTCAGGGAGAATAAGGACGTGTTCATATAATGTTAAATGTTAAAATCATTACCCCGTCCTTCAGTCTCTGGGACAAAGCAGCTGTTTCTGTGCACCGATCCCCACTGAAAGGTGTCGGTCACGTATTATGTTGCCGGGTACGGTGTGGGCCTCAAGGTGGAGTCCACAGGCACAGGAGACCCCCTGCCAGGTCTAATGGGCAGAGAGGGATCCTCGGACCCTTTCAGTCCTGCTAGAGCCCCTCAGCCCCCGCTCAATTACACGGCAGGCGTCTCAGTCTTTGCCTGGTCAATTACCAACCAGCCCCTGCATTTACTGTCGTGCACACACAGGTTGCAGGATAATCAGTGTCCAAAATTGCCCGGTTAGAATGAGGGAGAGGTATTCAGATTAGTCAGTCAAGCTGAAGGGGAGGTAGGAGGCATGGGGACAGCTATCAATCTCAATCTGGCTTCAGCGGTTGCAGGGGGAAGATCTTTCAACTTTGTTTTTTGGAAAGATATGATCCTGAGAAATGTATACTGGTGTGATAGGGGTCGTGTACAACCTGTGTTTTTTTTGGGGAATAGAAAGTTGGTTTCTGTATGAAAGGTCCACTCTGGGACTTATTTAGTAAACAATCTCTGGTTGTCCATGTATGTGTACGCCTCGACTCACATCCCCTTACCCCACTCATTTTCCACGTCTCATATTCCCTCCACCTTCCCCTCCCTCCTCCCTGTCTACCAGCCAGCCAGGTATGAAAACTAGCTGACACCTGACCAAGGGAATTAATCATCCTTGACCCTGGACCAATTACCCCTCATTACCCACTCTGTGTCCACCTCTCAGGGGAGAGCAGGGTAACAATAGCGCAGCATGAAAGTTGGCGGCGTCACAGGACTGAGCCCTAATGGACGGTCCTGTGCGACCGTGTCTCCTCAGGAGTCCAGGTCGACTAACCTTCAAGTCCTTGTCACTCTCAGACAGCACACGTACAAAGGAGGCCATTGTTCAGGGTCGAGGCCCATGACCTCTTGAGATGAAGTGCACAGGGCCGCTGGCAAAGAGAGTGCAGCCATGCTGGAAATGGATCCTTCAAGGTTTTGAAACTGAAGCAACACTCGATACCTAGACGTTTGGTGGCACTTTCTAATAAGAGACTCTTTTATAAATAGTTTTTAAGTGGAAACGAATTACTTGAGTTGGTAATGATTCAGTTAAAAAGTTTGAAATCTCCTAATAAATGCACCTGGGTTCCTAACTTTCTCAGAAGTCTGCAGGTATAAACTTTAACAAGTCATGTTTTAAAGGGTTTACACACTCATTTGACTAATAAGCAGTTGTGGATATTGAGAGAATTCTCTTGACACACATGGACTGTCTGGATTCTCCTTTTCCAGGAGGCTTGCCAAAGTTATAATAACATCCTGACAACCAATATGTGTTCTCATATTAATGCAATTGATCTGTAGCTTCTGGGAATGGTGAATTTAATCTTTATGATGTTTGGAAAATAAATCTCATCTTTACTTATGGCTTGCCAATTCAAAATCTACTTTCAAATGACAAACACTTCACTATAGGAAGTGTGGGTTTCATTTGTTTTCTTTATATTTGTATTTTATTAGCTTCTTTTTTATATATATATATATATATATATATATATACATTTTTGTGTCTTGTAAATCGAAAATGTCAAATAGGTGCCATGCCAATAAGAATGATGAGTGCAAATTTGTCTCGTCGTTTCAGAAATAAAAATAAAAACTGTGATTTTAGCCAGATGATCTCTCATTATAGCCGAGGGATAACGGAGCTTTCTTAACACGCGTAGTACAAACAAAAAAAATCACCAACATTACATTTACCTGGTTTTCTCTCAGCAACAGTAATATTCATTTTTTGGGACAAAAGGAAATAACGACCTGAACAGAGCACATCAGGAAGTGTTATACCCATCAGAATATTTCTCTGTCATTCAATCTGGGCTCTTCAGCTACCTGTCTGAGTGGAAAAGGCTCCCATGTTCACTGACCTTTCCTCTTTAAACACAATGAGACAAGAACAATGACCATGGGGGGTTAATTACCACCAATTAGAGGCAGAAGTGGCTCTCCTGCGCTGTGGTTTGCGTAACCCGAGTGCGGTGAGCTGTATCTGGGCTCCATTAATGTCCGTCAACCCGTCTCCAGATTTCCATAGAATTTATTTTGAACATTTGCTATTTCAATTTGTGATACATTTCATTTAAGTTTCTCATATTGCTGTCATGATTAGATTTTCACGACACAAGTGTTGAGGCCAAAAGCGTCAACGATAATGATATCAAAGCAATATAAAACATTTGAAAATACAAAATGCTTTCAATCAAAAACATTTATGAAAATCTTATTTTTTGGGCAAATGTATTACACATTTACTTGTGTATTTGTGTATTGGGTGAGTGGGATAAAGCAAGAACAGAAAGAAATGAAAATCATTTAAGAGCAGTTGCATTATTTACATGATATACAATGATATAAATATAAATAAATCATAGTTGTATTAATACATATATAGTGCAACACCCCAACTTAGATCACTGTTAATTTCATTGCCTCAATCTTTTGTTTGTCTGTTACTTTGCTCTTATAAATATCCCACATTTTATCAGTGCAGTGGTCTCTCAATAAACTGTCAATTACTCCTTGTTTCTAAACATTTCACTTAATGCTTCTTTACTGAGCAGGTAAGGGGTTAATGGACTCGTCCCCTGTGGTTTGTGCTGGAAGCTAATGGGCCTGGCAAAGATGAGGTCACTCTCACTGCTAAGACACAATGAACAATTTACAGAGCAGGATACCATGCTGATAGTGTTGGATTACTATTAATTAATTATTGATATTTATACTTTTTATATCCATAGGTAGAACTATATGGAGTCAAATAAAAATGTAATAATGATGATCAGTTCATGATCATTAATGTTGTCTGAACTTAAGGAGAACCGTCAGGCTGATCAAACAAACTTTCCTTAATGTGGTAGCTGTGATTTTCAGCAAACCAGGACAGAAAACCTTTTATCAGCTGAGAGGTGATTAGACATTTCCAGCAGTTGTTAGTGGTATTAATTAGTTCATAAAAAATGTGGCTCAGATCGCTGCTTGTGTAAAAAATGCCTTTGATGTATTTGGACAGAGCTGATTTGTCCTAACAGCTGAAATGTCCACTTCATTCAAACTCCTGAAACTTGATCTCCTGCTCCAACATGAAGAGACCATCTGTGAGGAAACATCCAAATAAAGCAGGACACACTTTGCCTTCCAGGCAGCTAACATCCATGGATCCTGTGAGTGTGAGTGCAGTGTTTTTCCTTCATGTCGAAGCCTATTTTCTGGTGTCAAAGGACACCCATACACTGATGTCCTTAAGATCTATAGACAGATGGGACCATTACGGCCAAAGCCCCTGGCTTTGTTTGGCCTGAGCTGGTGATGAAATATTGATGGAAAAATATAAATATTTTGCCTGCTGCTCAATGTTGCCCAACTAAAAGGGTTAATGAGCGTGAGGACTTCAGTCTCCTGTTACAACAAAATGTAGCTCCACCACACACACTGACTAGACTAGTCAGCAGAACAAGAATCAATAACCTTTTGCAAAGATGGATTCAATTACCCTGTTATGGTAGAAGCTGCATTTGTGTTTATATTGACTAATAGGTAACTTACCTTTGGCAATTTGTATTTCTTTAAAAAAATACAAAATGTAATAGAATCTGACTTTTGGGAAATATGCCGATTTACTTTCTTCCGAGATTTATATTGGCAGAGTGATAACTCTAACATCAACCCTCATGTTTGCACAGTTACAAGATTAGCCAATACCTGCATCTGCTAGGGCCATACATCAACACTGTATACCTTGCTTGTTATGGCCATAACAAAAGTAAAGTGTAAAATCAAAGTTGCAGAAGATGATGTTGTATCTGTTTGGACCTGTTGAGCCTGGTACAGTATTGTAGTGTTTGAATGCATTGAAGCTTGCCTAAAATATGAATTGTCACGTACTTTCAGTGAATCAAAGTTGAATGCTAATGTGATCAAACTCACAAGCTCACAAGGACAATGCTAACATGCTAATGTTAGGCAGATATAATGTTATAATAGTTAAGCGTGTTAGAATGCAAACATTTACTAATAAACACAAAGTACAGCTGAGGCCAATGGGAAGGCCATTAGCTTTGCAGGGAAATAGTCAGGTACCAAAGTGTTGAAAGAACTCAAAATTTGACAAAATGTA